AATTGACACATACGCTTTAAGGCTAGATTATGGTTTGGAAAATTGTAGGTGATCTAGAATGTGGCCAAAGAGATGTTTTTGGAATTGTCAATCATAGTTCCAAATATATTATTACTGCCCCATTCCTCAGAACCAAAAACACTGGCTGTAAGCCATATATGTATAGCCTATAGTCATGGCCTATAGTACCATTACCACCAATCACCATAGCTTAGTTGCAAATGAGACAAGTCATTTTCTTCTCCGGGCCTTAGCTGGCACTCACAAATATTCGAGAGGATGTTTTAAGGAGGCTACACACTAGGTCGTCTTAAAGGTCCCTTTCATCTCTGGCACTCTATGTTCTAAGAAAAATGAGCTATTCTAAACACAGCCAGCCTTAGAACCTTATTTGAAGTATTGTTTCTATGCAGAAAAGTTTTATACATCTCAAACAACCAACTTAAAAATCAACTTTGGGAACATAATCTATGAAAATGGGGCCTTCCTTTTTTTCAAAAAAAATATAGTATATGACATTTTCCCATATATCTTGATTACTATCATAAATACATTACCAGGTCAAAAATACCATTTGGAGAAAAGGAGCACCTTAAAATTAAAATGGTAAGAAAATGGTCATCCTCCAGCTGACAGCCAGTCAAGCACTGCGGCTCTCGGTCCAACCGTCCTCAAGGACTGTGTGCTGCCAACAACTACATGAGCTTGGAGGGGAACTTTCCCAGTAGAGCCCAGTCCTGAGTAATACCCTGACTACAGCCAGGGAGAGACTCTGCAGTAGGAGATGCAATTAAGCCACGTCCAGATTCCTGACTCATAGAAATTGTGAAATAGTAAATGTGTCTGCATCTTGTTTTTTGTTTACTTTTTAATTTATTGATTGATTTGAGAGAGATCCATTTGTTCCATTTAGTCATGCATTCACTGGTGGATTCTTGTATGTACCCTGCCCAGGGGTCAAATCCACAACCTTGGCATATCAGGACAACACTCTAATTAACTGAGCTACCTAGCCAGGGCTGCATCTCATTTTAAGCCATCAAGTTTATGGTAATATTGTTACCTAGCTACTAATAATTAATACAGGTAAAAACACAGAATATAATTAGAGAAGAACTTAGAAACAACAGAAAAACACGTGTGAAATAGGAATGAATGTTCTGATAATAAAGGAAAGATCGCTACAAGATCAAGTTAATTTTGAAATATTTCATAAAGAATTTAGTTACGAGACCCACCTTAAAAGCCTTTCAGGAATTCACTGGCAGAGAGGAAGAGGAAATAACACAGAGGAAGAACCAGCTGAATATCAACACGACTACACTGAGGATCAGGGAGAGAAGGCGGAATAGGGGCAATGGGTCTGGATCGTGGGAAGCCTGGAATGGCAGGCATTGAGTGGGCTAAGTTTTGATACTGTAGGCAACTATACTAAAAGAAAGGCTCCTTGGGCAGGGAAAAGACAATAAACTTTTTTAAAGAACTTAATCTTATCACAGTATAAAGGACAGAGAAGATTAGAGGTAAGACAAGAATACACTGGCTAGCATAAAAGCTTCCTGAGAGGCCAACAAACACGTGAGGGCAGAAAGGTTCACTCTCATAAATAATCAAAGACACACAAATTAAAACTATAAAACACAGCATTTTAGTTGAGCAAATTAGTAAAAATTAAAGAGTAGTATTACTAGTAAAAAATAAAGCAATCCCAGATGCAGTTGGTAGGAATGTTAACAGAATAGCCTTCATGGAAAGCCATTCGATAATATCCATTAAAAATCTTAAAATAAGGCCTGGCTGGCGTAGCTCAGTGGATTGAGCGCGGGCCTGCGAACCATGTAATCGCGGTTCAATTCCCAGTCAGGGCACATGCCTGGGTTGCAGGCCAGTTCCCAGTGGGGGACACATGAGAGGCAACCACACATTGATATTTCTCTCCCTCTCTTTCTCTCTCCCTTCCCCTCTCTCTGAAAATAAATAAATAAAATATATTTTTTTAAATCTTAAAATATTCAGATCCTCAAACTCAGTAATTCACTTCTTAGAACATACTCTAAAAAGAAAATAAATTTATCTCCCCATTCAATAAACATTGAATTGAACGCCAACTATGTTCTAGATACCGAGGATACAGAAGTGAACAAGACAGATCTCACCTGTGTTCTTGTGGAGATTAGAAGAGACAAACATTTAACAAATAATCACAAAATAAATGTATAACTACACATATCACAGGACCCCTTGTAAGAGTATTTTTAAATACTTGATTTAACTGGTGTGATCAAAAACGACCTTTTTTGGAAGTAACATTTCTACTGAGAACTGAAGGATGAATAGAAGGTAGTCATGTGAACAATGGGAGAATTTTTTTTTGATAGAGAAAAACATTCATGATAGCAAGAAAGAGTTAATTGTATTTAAGATTTTAGAAGATCCATTTATTAACTTATTTAAAAATATGAATGGAGATCCTAGTTAAGTATTAGGTACTAGAGCTGAGGATGAGGGATAGGAAAACATGATCAAGGTCAAGTTGAGGTTATAGCAGACAAAACAGGTGTAAAAAATTCTATAGCTATGGAAGGGACTGGTTTTCATAATAAAGCTAAAGACATATGAGGAAATAAATGAGTGAAAAAGGAGAAAACCAATGCACTGAAAAAGATGAGGATGGAGTAAAGGTAATAAAGATTTTCTGCCTCTTCTCAAATCCAAATACACTTACCTGAGAAAAATACGTTCAAAATGTACCTTTCGTGTTATTAAAATTACCATTTAGAATAGAAATACTTAGATGGGTCAGCACCAAAATGCTCATAAGCAGGGAAGGGGCAAGTAGAGATAAAAAATGAATTTTAGATATCTATACATGAGTCAGGGCATCTCTGTACTTCGGAAACTACCGTATTTTGCCATGTATAATGCACACTCTTTTGTCCAAATTTTTAAGGGAAAAATAAGGATGCATATGATACATGGGCAGTAGTAATTCCATACCTCTATAAATGTTTTTAACTCTTTAATGTATGCTTATGCATTACAAGTATAACTCTAGAAACCAATAATGCTACCTGTATACAAAGTAATACCCTGGAATATGATAATTGGCTTGGTTTCTAAATATAAGTAAATAAATAATTGAATTTAAAAATTAAAATGAAAGGTTTTTTCCCTGAAAGTTTGGTCCAAACACATAGGTATGCGTTACACATGGCCAAATACAGTATTTCCCTACAGCTAAGCTATCCATGAATGGCTCTTGACTATGTTCAGTGTTCAAGAAAAAGTAACCACCTTTTTAAAAAATAATCATAGCAGACTCTGCCAGAGGTCAAAATGCACATAGAATAACCCAAAGATTTGAAATTAAAAATTAACCAAATGAACCCCCCATCAAGTCACATGTGAAGGGTGACATTTACACAAACCCTATGGTGAGAATATGCTTGGAGTCTTCAGCAAGTTATAAAGGGAGCCTTAAAAATAATTACGACCTCAGTGAGTGGTCGGCTGAGAGAGCAGAGCCCGTCTCCTCCTGTCTCCTCAGTCATCTAAGCGGTAACCCTTTACATTCAGAGCATGTCAACAGCATTAAAGATTAAACAATGTCCGACAGCATAGACGCTAGATACAAAAAAAGATACGTGGAACGCTGCGCTTTTTTGTGCAACTTCTGTATGAGTCTAAAATTATTTCAAAATAAAAAAGAAAAGCCAACAATATATGGGTTGTCTTGCTACAAGAAATAATATCGTACAAGGCCTAAAATCTGTGTCAACTGCATGAGGCAATCACAAAGGAAAAATGAAACAACCCTTCCCATTACTCTGTAAGAGTCCCGTTCTCACTTCCGTCGGGGGATGCAGGTACAAACAAGAGAAAAGCTCGTGGTCTGCACCGGCTGTTCCACTGCCCACCAGGCTTTTAGAAAAGTCATTTCAGTATCTCCAAGCTTCTACCACCCCCACCGGACAGGGCGGGTGACGACAGTGTGCTACACACATGCTCATTATTATTACTTAAATTTGTATTTATTTGAATTTTGTCATTCCTTTGTTCCATGGAGGAGTTTCTCTGAGATGTGATTAACTATTTGGATATCTTTACATTTGTGAAATTACCAAATTAATCTAATACTTTCCAGTAGGGGCTCAGATTTAAGCAACGGATTTATCTAATAACAAATATAGTTATGACATCCTGGGAGATGCTTCAAAATAGAAATACAGCCATAAAAAATGTTTGAAAAAATCTACTTTGCCTTTCCTACAAAATTCATTAATTGAACTGGTTAGTTTGTCACCTTAAAATTAGTGTGGTTAATTCTGAAGTCCTGTCTTTGTTAGACTTGTGTAATAAAGGTTGATGGGGGCATAAACAGGCAGTTTAAACAAATATACTGATCATACATAAAACATCACTGAGAAAATATATGTTCCCCAGAGACATTAAAAACGAATAGCTCTGCTGAAGAAAAAAAGGCAATTAAGTCAGAAATTTCAAGAAATCCAAAAGATGAACCTTGAGAACCCAAAACAAATTTTGACGCCTGAAAAGCAAATGCATCTTTTATAAAAGTGGATTGATGTGTACTTATAAATTATGCATTATAAAATGTTTCATTATAGCTTTAATGTTTCAAAATCCATTATCATCCCTCTGTCTCCCATCAAATATAATCATAGGAAGAGAAATGTTATTTTTCTGGGTTAAAACTTAGTGTACAACCTAAAAGCTAATGGGAAAACAAAGGACGAGAGCAACCCTCTCAAATCTCACCTTTAACTCATTAAAACCTCGAGGTTTTAACATGGCAGCTACTTTTGTTTCCTGGAGAGTTTATAGGTCAGCAATGATTCAAGTGGACAGTTTGAAAGCAAAAAAGCCCAGGAGTTATATAAAAATAATATTCAATAAGATAACCTTATAACAAACAGTTCGAACAGCAGAACTTTCTCCCCCCACTTCAAAGTGTCCATGGTGTCCGTCATTCTACTCACTTCCGATGGGTGTGGTCCATGCCACTGTTTGGTATTGATTCCAACTTTGCATTTTTCTGCCCACAGATATTTCCATAGCTGTCGTATCCTGACACTAGTCTCGCTGCTGCACCTGTTGCTACTGAAAAGCCACAAATAAATCCCTAGGGAAAAAAACAGAAAAAAAAACATACAAATAAACCATTTCAATAGCAACAGTCACCACTTGATACGATAATGAGCTTCTTTGTCTGTCGAAGGAAACAAAGAGCTATCTTTCCTTCTTGCAAACACTATTCCTCTGTTATCCTGGGTTTTCACATTGGCAGCCCAAAGAAGTCCCCAGGGAAACACTATTTACTACCATAACAAAAAAAAAGTCTCTAAGCTGTTACATCATAAGATCGTCTCTGCATTTTTACGAATAACAGCAGCTTCTCTGTAGGGAACATCTGCTCCGTGCCAGGCTCTGTACTGGGCACTTACCATACATTACAGCTAATCCTTGTGATGTGGCCACTGAGGCCCAGGGAGGTTACATAAGTTTTCCAAGGCCACAGAAGCTAGTAAAGATCGGAGCATAGAATCAAACCCACCACCCTTCATTTTTTTTTAAAGTTTTATTTGGTTGAAGGAGTTCTATTAAATGAACAATAACAATGCATGAAAGAAAAAATTCAAAGAATAATAGGTATGTGGGTTTTGAATGAACAGTTCAGTGTACACAACACTTCTGTTTGCTTCCTGCAATAAAGCTGTATACAAGCCAAAGAATGACGCCATGAAGTGCTACCATGCTCTTAATATTGGACAGTCGAGGACAGTGAGGCACTGGGTCTGTGTGCCACACAGGTCACTCTATCTCACGGGAGCATGCTTCCCCACAGTGCCAAAGGCAAGTGGTAGATGCTTCAGAACCACATCACGCTTGCTAGGTCAAGTACCATATTTTACTGTGTGTAATGCGTCCCTGTGTACAATGTATACCCACGCTTTTGGCCTAAACTTTCAGGGGGAAAAAAATCTTTTGTTTCATTGTTTAATTCAATTATTTATTTATTTATATTTAGATACTTGTTTTTTGTATTATAAAGAAATCTTAGCATTTATTTTTGAATATCTCGTGGTACAAGAAATTGTATATAACAAATGATTATAAAACACAAGAACCGATCCAAGGTATTTGAGGTACTACCCACGTATAATGAGCACCCTTATCTTTCCCTCAAAAACTTGGGTAAAAAAGTGCACATTACGCATAGCAAGATACGGTGCATGCCGACCAAAACAAAGCAGCAGAAGCCCATACTCAGCTGCAGGCTAGTGAAACTGAGGACAGGGGGTAAGGTGAGTCACTACGGATAAACCGATTGAAGTCAGAGGAGAGATGGGGGTTAAGAACTATTCCTGCAACTTGGTCCTTCTAAGCTTGAGTTCTTGTCACCTTTACTAAAGTGGCTAATGAAGGCAGAGATTACACTGTTGACCCAGGATGGCCAAGTATCATGAGAGCACCCACTGGCCCTGGTAGATCTCAGGCCTACGGTGGTAAGAACAACACTCCTACGTCATTCCTCAGAGAAAGTATACCCCTCTTAAACATGCTTTCCTAAAAAGGCAAACAAACTCCTTTTTTTTTCCAAAATAACCTATTTCTATAATTCAAGTAAGGACAGTGAGGGGGGAAGAATAGAGTACACCTCTAGCTAGTAGAAACTTCTTGAAATTACACTTTGTAAGAAAGCAGATTCCGCAGATACTATTCCTGATTTGCTACTATCTTGCTCTCTGATCCTTGCCAAGTTACTTTAATTCCCTGTGCCTCAGTTTACTGACCTGTAAGATGGAGATAATGGTAGCTCATGGGGCGTCTGTAAGGATTAAATGAAATAATCCAGTAAAGTGGTAAGATTCCCCAAAGTAAGACCTCAATAAATATTAGCTATTATTGTTGTTCAAAATGAGAACATACTGTGAGGGAAAGTCCATGGGCTCTGTGGCCAGATAAACCTGTATTGATCAATGGAACACGACGACTCAATTTTCTCCTTGTGTTAACTTGGACACACTTGCTTAATTCTCTGTGCCTTGGTTTACCCAGCTATAAATTGGGTCTAAAACCATTTACCACAAAGGCTGCTGTGTGAACTACATGAGATAGTACATGCAAAGTGTGTATCTCAATAAATGATAGTACCCTTCTGCCTCCAAACCACGGCTGCGAGTGCTAAAGTAGGCACAGGTGGTCAGCACTCACTCGTGCATCCTCACCCTGTTGCTCTCCTCTCTCCCCCGCCCCAGACGTCTCCAAGGAGACTGCAGAGCAGTCAGCCCCATCTCAGAACTTCGAGACAACACTAAGACATGAGAATAAGATGTAACCCCCCCACGTACATACACCTATGCAAGTCAACACATCATTTTAAGCATATTCTTGAACATCAAAATAGAAAACCCTACAAGTGAGCAAAACCTGTAAGTGGAGGTAACTAACAGGAGGTCTGATGACTAACCTTTCCAATATGGCTCTTTAACAAGCAACATCATTGGTAATAGGAAGGGAATCTGGAAAGCCCTGGATTCAAGCCCTCACTCTGCCACTTCCTGCCTGTGTGACTCTGACCCTGCTATCTACTTAGACTGTTTTCTCCTCATACCTAACACAGACCACTGAAGTGTCTTATCTGAGGTTTTGGTCACCCACAGTCAACCATGGCCTGAAAATATCTAAACAATTCATGTGTTTTAAATTGCATGCTGTTTTGAGAAGCATGATGAATCTCACTCCATGCTCTACCCCATCTGGGACGTGAATCATCCCTTGGTCCAGGGCATCCATGCCGTATAAGCTACCTGCCCATCCATCGCTTAGTAGGTCTCTTGGTTATCAGATCAGCTGCCACGGTATCACAGTGATTGTGCTCAAGTCACCCTTATTTTATTTAATAAGGGTCCCAAAGTGCAAGAGTAGTGATGCTGGCAACTCGGATATGATAGAGAGAAACTATCAAGTACTTCCTTTAAGTGAAGTCACGTAGGTATAAAAGAACACATAGTACCTGTAGGGTTTGGTACTAGCCATGGTCTCAGGCATCCACTGGAGCATCCTGGAAGATGTCTCCTGTGAATAAGGGCAGGACTAGTGTAGCATCTATTTCACAGTCTAACGATGAGAACTGAATGTGATGATGCATATCGAGCCCCTGGCTGGTCTGGCCCATGGCAGGTAATCAATATATGGTAGCCGTCAGTGGTGCATTTGAATAAATCAGACTAAAGAGCTTGACAGCGGTAATTGGGGACTAACCCCAAACCCTTTCTTGACTTCAGAACAAAAATTCCTGGGGGGATTAAAGTGAGAAATATTGTCAGTAATTTTGTTTCTACATAAAAACATTTAGATCACAATTACAATCTTCTTTCACTTCTAATCTAAAACAGCAAAGTCCTTGCATAATTAAAAAGGTTATGTTCTTCTTTCACGTTTCATAGAAATTTTCTTCTTATGCTTGATAAGTACTTTTTTATTCCAGGTTCCTTTAAATAATTTCTTTTCTGACTATTTTTAATAGTATTGTTGGACATGTGGTTTAGGTGGTGTTGTTGTTTTAATCATAAGTCACCCCACATCCCTCTGGGATGCAGGTGGAGCATAGATAAATGTCACAGACATACAGTAAAATGGGATGCTGACATATTCTCACAGTGGCCACGTAAACTTCTTGGCAGCTTCCAAAGCATCAGAATAGAGAGGGTAAGAAGCTTCGGGGAGAATGGAGAGAGGAGAATATGACAATAAGCTAGAAAGAAACCACGCCTGTTCTCCCAGGGACTTCCCACACGGTACAAGCATTGACAATGGGGAAGTAGGCCAAATATACGGTAATTAAAAATACAATCTCTTTTTTAAAAAAGTCCTGAAATCCAAGTGCAGAAAGCACTATAGTTTCAGATGAGAAAAAATGGGGTACATGACATCAAAATAGGGTGGGAAACTTTACAGAACACACTCAATGGCTCCACAGAAGGTGGGGTGGGGACTGGCATTCAACAGAAGGAAATCACATCAATAAAGCAAATGATAAGGGAGATGAAGAAAGCTTTCATATTCCTATAACAGGGAGCAATCACTAGAGGGAAAAGTAAGCCTATTAGTAAGAGAGAGAAGCATGGCTAAAATCTTAAAGTGACTGATTTACTAAAGTGCTTTCACAATGGCTATTTTAAGACAGAGAAGAGAAACAGACAAATCTAGTCATAAACAGGAGGTGACTCAAATCAGATGAAGGTATTCAGGGATGGTGCATCGTAGGCAAAATCTGGCGACTACTGAACACCTACTGCTAAGTGGGAGAAAGACAATTTGCTAAAGAATGAACTGTGTTCATTTTCCCTTCACATCCCAAGGTTTAGTTCAACTTAAGAGCCTTTGCTCAGTTTCATTCATTATTAGTCAAAAAAGAAGACATGTTTTATTTCACAAGCTTGTTGAATTTCACACCTGGAGCCTTTACTGTACAAAAGCCTTAGTTTAGTTTTGGGGGAAAAAAAGGCCAACAGAAACATGAAGGTGGGGAGAGGGAGTACAAACAGCAAAATGTTTCAAAATAAAAAGATGAGGGAAAAGAGTTACGCTTGTAGCCCTTTCCCAGGATGTAATGACCTTATATCCAGATTCTATTTTTTTCTCAAATAGTGCCTACCTCCTTCAACCCTATACCTCTCTTATCTCAATCAATGCTTACAATCAGTCCCTGAATAACCAGTTTGTCAGACCTTGTAGCAACAGTTGGCTTGCTCCTGCTGAGTACCCTGAGACAAGGAACAGCAGACAAGGAACTATCGGGCCCAGCAGACAGCGTAGAATTAGAACACCTGATGCAGAGTTATGGTTTATGCAAGCGAACTAAAAAAGCTAATTTAAAATTTCTGCCAAGCTGGTACATTTCTAGATTTCTTTAAAGTTAGATAGGATGCATTACTGTAAGAAAGAGGAGAGTGGAAGACAATAGTGATTGGAAGGCTAGGAAATATCCACCCAATAAGCCCTTGATAAGCACATACAAGTGCAAGACGTCAGACAAGGCACAAAAGAGTTATAACACATCAAGTCCACCCTAGAAGAACTGCAATGTCTCAGAAGAAAATAATGTGGTGTGAGGGA